TATTTACCTATGTGTCATATGATTCTTAATTGTGACTTGTTGTAACATGTCGTTTGTCAGTTTTATTTAATAAGTCCAACTAATCTGTTGATTACACCAAGAAACAAAAAGTACATCGTTTTAGTGAACTACAAAGCAGATTACAGCAGAAGTAAAGTTGAATAATAGTTTTTGGTGTTGAAATATATGATTGTCACTGACTGATATCAACTACCGGATTTTGATATCAAGAGTAGGACATTCGATAATACGTTGGTTAATGTCAGATATATCAAGTGCTTGGTTTCTGATGTAATGTCCTAAAGTTATTTTACTATCCTTTTGTACTATGAATATTTTAGTTTCATTTCTTTGTGAGTTCTTGACAGGATACTACTGAAGACCTTTTAAATAAGACAAAATAATAATATAACACTCAGTGACTTGCAAATGTTGTTTAAATGATATAAATCCATAAATCTAACTGATTTTTAGTTGAATAACCTTGATAAAATTCTTTTGATATAAACATGTTTATCAGTTTACTTGGAAGTCCCAAGATACTAATTTTAAATTTTATTTTTTTATTTTCATTTTAACACATAGATACTGGTACAAGGAGGCACCAAATACATATGCGCCACACAAATCTCATTTGATATGTGTGGGGGCCGTGATACTGTCCGGGTGCCCAAACTGAAGCAGGTGGTTTCCTTGGGGGACCACACCTAGAGCCTTCGACCTGGAGGTCTGATCCATAAGGCAATGGAGCATCGTAAGGAGATGCAGTCTCATAGAAACCGGTGACCAACAATTCGTTCATACGCCGTTTGTTCCCGCAGGATACTGGAGCCCATGTGCACAATTGGTTTGGAATCTGGTTACAGCGCCGGACATTCGCTTTTCGTCCTCTCATTTTCGTAAACAGCACCCCAGCCCCGAGAAGGCAGTGATTGGGACTTCCCTTGCAGAGGCTATATACGCGTGACTATGTGAGAGCATTTCTAGAGGGAGAGTGGACTCTCTCCACATCTGCGAAGTCCAAATCGTCTAATTGATTCTGAGCTGTCCATTGTATGCCGTGTTTCCCTCAGATGTCGAGGTCTTCATAATCCAGTCGACCACCAGAAGAAAGAGGAAGGGAGAGAGTAAACAGCGTTGTCTGACTCCGGTCCTTACTTGGAATGCATCTGTCAGCTGTCCTCCATGCACGACCTTGCACTGTAGTCCGTCATATGAGTTCCGGATAATATTGACAATCTTCTCAGGAACTCCGTAGTGTCGAAGAAGTTTCCATAACGTTCTCCTATCTACACTGTCAAACGCCTTCTCATAATCAATGAAGTTGATGTATAGTGACTAGTTCCACTCAATTGATTGTTCGACGATGATCCGTAGTGTTGCAATTTGGTCTGTGCACGACCGATCCTTACGGAATCCAGCTTGTTGATCTGGAAGTTGGGCGTCTACTGCACCTTTCATCCGGTTGGGGAACACTCTGTTAAAGACCGTCCCTGGTATTGACAGTAGTGTAATGCTTCTGTAGTTTTCACATTTGCTCAGATCTCCTTTCTTTGGAATCTTGATGAGGTGTCCTTCTTTCCAGTCCATCGGCACTTGTTCCTCCTCCCAAAACTTTTTCAATAGAAGGTAAAGCATGTTTGTAGTTAATTCGATGTCTGATTTCAGTGCTTCAGCTGGTATATTGTGAGGTCCTGCTACTTTCCCGCTCTTGATTTGTCTGATGGCCATTCTGATTTCTTCCGTCGTTGGTGGATTGACATCTATAGGGAGATCTTTGTGTGCTGCTTCGATGTCCGGTGGATTAATTGGAGCCGGCCTATTCAGGAGTTCCTCGAAGTATTCTACCCATCTGTTCTGCTGTTGTTGAATTTCAGTGATTGGCTTGCCTTCTTTGTCTTTGACCGGCCTCTCTGGTTTACTGTATTTCCTTGATAGTTTCTTCGTTGTATCGTAAAGCTGTTTCATATTTCCTTCTCTAGCAGCTTTTTCTGCCGTCTTTGCTAGTTCTTCCACGTATTTCTTCCTGTCGGCTCTAATGCTTTTCTTCACTTACTTGTTTGCTTCTATGTATTCAGCTTGTGCTTGGACTTTCTCTGCTCGTGTTCGGCTGTTGTTAATTGCTGTCTGCTTGTTCTTCCTTTCTTTGATCTTGTCCAGTGTTTCTATAGAGATCCATTCCTTATGATAGTGTTTCTTTAGGCCCAGAACCTCTTGACACGTTGAAGTTAATACTTCCTTGATACCTTTCCAGTTGTCATCCATAGTAGTTTCTTCTTCCTTCAGTAGATCTTGTGAGGCTTGGAACCTGTTGTTGAGAGCTATCTTGAATTCATTGAGTTTGTCAGTATCTCGAAGGAAGGCTGTATTGAACCTTTGTATTGCTGTTTGTCCACTTGTCCAGTTCTTTTTTAGCTTCAGTTTCAAATTGGCTACAACTAGGTGGTGATCTGAAGCTACGTCAGCTCCTCTTCTGGTTCTCACATCTTCCATTGTCCTTCGGAATTTTTTATTGATGTAAATATGATCTATCTGGTTCTCTGTAGTGTGGTCCAGTGAGATCCATGTAGCCTTGTGTATACGTTTGTGTGGAAATATTGTGCCTCCTATGACCAATTTGTTGAATGCACACAGATTCGCGGATATTTACTTATTTCTGTTCCTCTCTCCCAGTCAGTCCATGTCGTCCCATGATATCTTCACATCCGGTGTTGTCTATTCCAACTTTGGCATTTAGATCTCCCATCAGAATGGTGAGGTCTTTTCTTGGGCACTTCTCAATGATTGACTGCACCCGCTCGTAGAATTGATCTTTACTGTCGTCTTTGCTATCATTGGTGAGTGCATAACATTGGATAATATTCATTAAGATCCCCTCCTTCTTTGTTTTGAATCATGCTTTGATGATTCTGGATCCGTGAGATTCTCATCCTACAAGTGCATTTCGTGCTACTTTGAACAGCATTAGAGCAACTGCCTGAGTGTGTGGAGTATTTTCCTCTTCATGACCGGAGTATAGCAGCATCTCTCCCGTAGCTAGCCTTTTCTGTCCAGCTTGGGTCCAGTGGGTTTCGCTGATTCCCAGTACTGTCAAGTTGTATCTCCTCATTTCCGTTGCTATTTGACTGGTCTTCCCGGTTTCCAACATTGTTCGGACGTTCCATGTACCTATAAAAATTGTTGCTCTGGTTGTTAGAAGGGGCATCGGCCTCGTGGCTTCCTAAGGAACTCGGCTTTCACCATGAAGCGTCATAATTCTTCTAAATGAAGACCTTCTAACTCCCAGTGCAGAGTTTAAATGGTTTGAGTTATTTTTTCTGGTTAGCGTTGTTTTAGCGAGTTAGTTTTCTACGGGATGGGGACGCTAACCCCATGCCTAACCCTCCTCTTTTACCCGGGCTTGGGACCGGCAGTAACTCTAGAATAGCTACTGGCGGAGTTCTCAGAACTATATACGAAATTAAATTAAAACAAAGGATATATTACATCATTGGAATAAATTCGTGTCAGAAAAGTGGCTACATGTGATTATACTCATTGTTTCAACTCTAGTTTATATGTACAGAAAGTATTTTCGGTCTACAGGGCACTGGTATAGTGATCGATTCACTACCACCATTTTCCAAATTGTTTACCGATTTTTACTGTTCGTTTGACCTATAAACTCTGTAAGCATTTTTTATCCTTCCAACTTTTACTTAATCCAAATAATACCATCATTGTTAATTTTAGTCAAGTTTTCATTTATAAATTACAGTTGTTATAATTATAACTACCCTTATTAGTCTAACACTAATCAATAAAACGTTTAAACCCCCATTATATTAAAAAGCATAGTAAATGTTCTTTACCATAACTTATTCAAATATTATTATGATGGCTACCGTCATAATCAATTCATTACAAGCAGTATAGAGGTTTGTAGAGATTATTGAATATTATAGCAATCACGAATAGGCAAAATTCAGAAATCTATTGAAACCCAGAAAAACCTGGACAGATGTGACTCCTTGGCAGTTTACACCCACGACCCCAACACCAGGGATCGAACTCAGAAATCTCGGTCTTGCGTGCAACCGCTTAACATCTAAAACACTAAGCCATATTCCAACGGCGTATGTCTAGCTTTATCATAGTCATCTGGCAATTTTTAACAGTTTTATCTACTGTAATCATAACAGTCTGCTCATGTTTCTTGTGCTTGATTGTGTCTTGGTCTGTCTCTCACTTATCCCACCTATCTTCAAATTGAACATATAGGAATATGGAATGATATTATAATTACTCGCTAGTTAAATAAATGATTTTATAGATGTTCAACACAAGAAAAATTAATAAGAGTTCTGACCTCTTAGAAGTCACGATGACGTGGAAAATCGGCTTGGAAAACCAACATTGGAATGTGACACCTGCATCAAAATTAAATGTAACTCACTCATAGAAATAGTCAAGGGTACGGTTGTCAATCTCATGAACTAGGATACTTGTGCTAAATTTGTTTGAGTTGAAATTTTTTGAGCTATTTTTTCGATAAATGTCAACTGCGATACTTGAAATCCTTTCTGAAGCTGTAAAAAGAATTTAAGCTGTTATGATATGATTGAAATTGTTGCATTTTCCTGGATGGAATTCAGTGTCCATCATCATAAAAAAGTCACAATGTGCAGTGTTCGAGAGTTGATGTGGTTACACAATATTCCTACATACGATCCCAACCGGGTACTCGAGGGAAAATATTGGAATACATATAATCTGTCTCGTAGAGATTTGAGCTCTTAACGATTCAAGTCTCTTCTCTCAGAAATTGTAGACATTTCCCGGCCAATCATTTGTCAATCATTCGGTCCAATACTGATTGGTCTAACGTATCATTTGTGTAATCTGTTTAATTATTATCAGTGGCTTGTGAATTGTTTTTACTGGTTTATTATTTTTTACTAAAGAATATAAATATTACTTTATATTATAGAAATCTTAATGAGGGTCTAAATCTAAACACTATGTTCAGTTGTTTATGTTGTTCTGGTAGTCGGTAAGCCAAATTCTATACGTTTAATTTTCTATTAATGTTTGTTTTAATTGTTATGTTTCATTATACTATTTGACTAAATGTTAGGAAAACAAATTAATGAGGTTCTTTGAGCTAATGACACTGAAAGTGAAATACGTTTTCCATACACTTAGGTCATGCAAGATGAGAAGTGAGAAAGAAGAACAACAAATCCGATCAAGCTATTACAGTGAAATAATTTTTCATCAAAGGTATACACGTGAAAACGATGTACGTAAATTGAAATCCATATCATAATGAATGTAAAGATAGGACAAAATAAGAAACATTTAAATATGGCGGTTTGTAACGACTAAATAAATTGAACGGTTGATGATTTGAAGCCTGTGATTGATTACCTTCTTCACATTACTTTTACTTTTTGTTATGCAATCACTACATCGATCAGTTACTTGTTTACTTACTTACTCCTATTACTCCCAACGGAGCATAGGCCTCCGACTGTCATTCTTCAACCCACTCTGTCTTGAGCCTTTCTTTCTAGTTCTATCCAATTGTTATTCATCCTTCTCATATCTGTCTCCATTTCTCGGCGTGATGTGTGCTTTGATCGTCCCCTTCTCCTTTGATCTTGAGGATTCCATGTGAGCATTTGCCTTGTGACACAGTTGGATTCTTTCCTCAATGTGTTCTATGCAATACATTTATAATCTAGTTTGATTGTATATTCACATAAATGATCCCGTTAAATGAAATGAAAGTTATTTAGAAAGAAAGTAGAATATTAGATTCAATAACCAACTAACTACTTAAATTAGAATGATAATTAAAGTTTCTTTTTATACTTTACACATTTAATGGTTATTTAATAAGATAAATTCTGTATTGAATATTTTAATTATTATGTTTATTTGAATTTATTTTATTAATTTACATTGAAAATTGAATTCAAATGTCTCAACAAAATTCAATGTACTTTTAGAATCATTTTGGTTACCTATTCAAATGATGTAAATATACAAAATGTTTACATTAGACTGAATACTTTCAGAAGGGTTTTGCGAATATTATAGTAATTTCAATGGTTGAGATCATGAGTCGGTTGAAGCTAGACCAGCATGGAAAACCTGGAAGCACTGGACAGTCGTTTCGACCTATCGTGGGACTTCTAAGCAGTGCGCACCCACGATCTCGCCCCCGCGAGATTCGGACCCAGGACCAATCAGTCTCGCGCTCGAGCGCTTAACCTTTAGACCACTCAGTCAATGTACTTTCAGAACTATTTTGTTACCTATTCAAATGATGTAAATATACAAAATGTTTACATTAGACTGAATAATTTCAGTTGTAATGACTAATAGAATATAATGTAAATCTAAGAGAAAGGTAAAAAGTTCAGTGACCTTAATAATGTTATTGATAAACATTGTGTATAGATGCATATATTTTCTAAAATATTGTTTGTATGAATCTTTATTAAAAAAGAGGTATGTGTGAATGTTTGTTGTTGTTGTTGTTGTTGTTGTCTAAATACAATAATTTCGTTTGTTTAAAGATTAATTAGGTGGTTAAATGAGCAGAAATGAAGGTTTCTTATGAAATAAACTGATTATTTAGATGGTTTTATACACCATCAGTTTAAACCACCGTGATCGATCATACTTTATCTTCTTTTATCTTCTTGATGTTCTTTTGAAGAAGTAACTGTTGGTTATAGAGAAAGTTTTATATGTTCAGTAGAGAGTTGATTTTTGTTCATTGAATAAACCACTGTATTATGGTTGATGAAAATTTCTCATATACACATAAAATTTAGCATATTAATTATCTAAATACTCTTTACAAATAGAAGAATGATTTATTTTATTTAAACTCATAAACATTGGTACAAGGAAGCACCAAATAGATATGCTCCACATAAGTCATTCGCTTTGTGTGAGGGCTGAGACATTCGCTTTTCGTACTCTCAATTTGGTAAACAATACCTCCTCCACGAGAAGGCAGTGTGTAGGACTTCCCTGTCAGTAGTTGTATGCACGTGACCATGTGAGAGTATTTCGAGAGGAAGAGCTGACTCTTCCCATTCTCGGCCATACCAGGGCATTTGGGGGAAAGAACTCAATAAATAATGTGAAACTACAAATGTAATGTTACAAAGGCCTATATGCTGAATAGATCTATGGAAGTGAATGATTAGATAGAAATCTAAATCAGCTATTCCTAGTGATTAGCTTATGGGAATTAGTTAGAGTCTTTCAAATCACACAACAAAGGTTCACCATTACTATAAATGAATGCATGACACCTAGTCCTTCATTATAAAATATTAAAATGTAAAACTATGAGTAAATGTCTTTTATCATCTATATACTATCAATTATTCACATCTAGTTTCAATAAACAGTATAAACTAATTTACTTGAGAAATAATTTACAGTATAGGGACTTGTGGAGAATGTGGTAGTTTCACAGTTGAATTCACGAATCGATTTAAGCTAGACTACCCTTGGATACCTACAAGTACTGAAAGGCATTTTCGCCGTAGTACGGGACTCCCCAGAAGTTCCCATCCACGATCCCACACGCGGGTTCCAAGTCTTACAGGATCTACTGGAAATAGAAGAAGCTGCGACGGAGGACAATTGGAAAGGGATCAAAGAAGCACTAATGTGAACGTGTTAGGAGGTTCTGGATCTCAAGAGGCATCATCATAGGAATTGGACCTTCATCGAAACCCTGGACAGGATTCAAAAAAGGAAGAAGAAGACAACAATTAACAACAGCCGAACAACAAGAAAGAAATTTAAGGTATAAGTTAAATACAAAGAAGCAAACAAGCAAGTGAAGAGGAGCATTAGAGCTCACAGGCAGAAATACATAGAAGACCTAGCAACGACAGCGGACAAATCTGAAAGAGAAGGAAATATGAAAAAGAAACTATACGACACAACGACGAAATTGGTGATGAAATACAATAAACCAAAGAGACTGGTCAAGAACAAAGAAAGCAAGACAATCACTGAGATTCAAGAATAGAGAAAAACTAGGTAGAACACTTTGAGGAACTCCTGAATAGGCCAGCCCCATTGGATTCACCGGATATCGGAACAGCACCTAAAGATCTTATAGCTGTCACCATACCAACGATCGGAGAAATCAGGATGTCCGATGATCAGACAAGTCGAGGGTGAGAAAGCAGTAGGACTTGATAGCACACCATCTGAAGCATTGAAGTCAGATACAGAAGTAAATGCAAATATACTACACGTTCTATTTAGGAAGATTTGGGAGGAGGAACAAGTGCCACTGACAGACTGGAAAGAAGGATATTTCATCAAGATACAAATGAAAGGAGATCTAAGTAAATGTGACGACTACAGTGGAATCATATTTCTGTAATTACCAGGAAAGGTTTTCAACATAGTGTTGCTGAACGGATGAAGGGTTCAATAAGCACTCATCTTCGAGATCAACAGACCGGATTCCGTAAGAAATAGGTCGTGCACAGACCGAATCGCGAACCACGGACCATCGTTGATCAGTCAGTTGAATGTAATTCTTCACCATAAACCAACTTCTTTGACTTTGAGAAGGCGTTTGACAACGTGGATAGGTGAACCTGATGGAAACTTCTTCGACGCTATGGTGTGAGTAGCTAGAAATATCGTCAATATCATACGGAATTCATAGGGTGTATTACACTTCAAAATTGTGAATAAAGGACCGGAGTCAGATAGGGCTGCCTACTCTCACTCTTCCTCTTTCTTATGGTGGTTGACTGGATTATGAAGACCTCGACATGTGAGGGGAAGCATCGAATAAAATGAACAGCTCGTAATAAATTAGAAGAATTGTACTTCATAGATGACCTAGCTCTTCTATCCCATATACATAAACAAATGCAGGTGAGATTAGCCAGTGTAGCAGCAGCCTATGCAGCAGTGCGCCTCAACATACACAAGAGAAAAACTAAGATCCTCGAATACAGCACTTGATGGAGAAGATCTCTAAGGGGTGGGGACATTCACTTACTTATCTGGACAGTATTACTGATGAACAATGAGGATCTGATGCAGATGTCAAGGTACGGATTGGCGAAGCAAAGATAGCATTCCCAAAGTTGAACAACAAATGGAACTCAAAACAACTGTCAACCAATATCAAAGTCACAGTCTTCAATGAGAACGTCAACACACTTCTACTGTATTGAGCTGAAACTTCGAAAACTACCTCAATCATTATCAAAAATGTACAAGTGTTGGTAAACAATTGTCTACACAAGATACTCAATGTCTGTTGGTGGGATACTATCAGCAACAGCCTACTATTTGGCGAGAACAAACCAGGTTCCATGTGAAGAGGAGGTTAGGGAAAGATTTCGGAGATGGATGAGATATACATCACAGAAATCATTAAACTGCATCATGAGACAAGCACGAACTTGGAATCGTGAAGGTGAACGGAAAAGAAGAGGACGAAATAACACACTACGTCTGGAATTGGAAGTAGACATGAAAAGGATGAATAGCAACTGTAAGTAACTAGAAAGGATTGACCAGTACAGGGTTGGATGGAGAATGGTGGTGGATGGTCCATGCTCGTCGAGGAGGCGTAACAGGTGTTAGTAAGTAAATACATACACATTATTATTTTACTTTGCTAAACACTGATGTAACATGTAAGTGTGTATTCTTTTTGGTTTTCAAAGTGCAATTGAACTGAAAGATGTACATTCAGTCATTAGTCAATTAGTATTACACCGGTGGCTTAGTTAATCACATTACATTGATTAAAACTAGAAACTAGCTAAATGAAAACTATAAGTTTGATAACTTTATCTGATACTCTGGTAACATTCTCAATGTTTATAATTAGTATCATCACTCTCAAACGTTCGCCTCTAGAAAGTGTAGTGGATTTTGATGACCTTGTTTTTAATGGACTGTTTATAATGAGTCTGAAAATTTATATCAGATAATATTTTTGTCTTTACATATAACATTTAATAAAAGAGTAGGCGC